CAACTATGTTGCCTGATCCCGATTCCTAATACAACGGAATAATAGGAAGACGAAACCTCGGACTCAGCTTAAATGTTCCGAACAACAGGCGATCTACAGAAAAGTGACACTGAACATCTATATCATCAGTTTGACTTTGATAAATGCTGAAAGTTCTTTAGCACACATAAAGACACAGAGTTTTTGGGTATTATGGTATCTCCGACACCTCCACTTATGAAAGGTTAGCAACGAGCTCGATGTGGGTCAACTTGAATACGTTCCGGTTGGCGGCGGCGTTTGTCTGTCCACCGCCTGGGAAGAGGTGCTGGATCAAGCAATGAGCTGCTGGTCACACTCTCTTCTTTGGAAAGTGCGTCAACTTTCAGCTCAAAACTGTCGGGAAATATGTCCAACGGTACGGTACCCGAACATACTGGAGTTTTCGGAGTGATGTTATAGCGGAGCTGTTTTTGTTGTCTGGTCCATGTGTCTTGACCAAGCGATATGTCGTACATCACACTACTGCATTTGCGTATGATATGACCTGAAATCCATGCATTGTGGCGATAATCACGGACAAGTACGGGTGTTCCCACCTTGAATGGAGCTCCGGTATGGACCTTAACGCAGTTGGCATCAGTAACCCGGGGGAGAGCCACAATTCAAGACTGCCGTGTCTGTGAAGGGGCTGTACGCCGGCTCCCGCGTCCACATAAAGGGGACACCTTTGCTTCATAGACACTGCCATAGTGTCTGACGGTCCACACAGTGGAAGGCAGCTTTCAGATCGAGCAACAACCGTTGTTGGCTGCTGGAAACAGTGTCACTGTTCCAGAACCCATCGGAGCGTGAAGATGTGATCGATGAATCCTCTTGCACAAGTGGATCATTTCTTGGAACTTTTCAGATGCATTGCTTTTTCACGTCTCCTAAATGGAGTTGATGCATTTGTGGACAAAATACCAATCTCCCAAAAGCGGATCGAAATATTTCGACAATTTGAGTCCTACTACCAACAGGGATCGGAAAATTCCAACATTATCAAGGCTGGTAGTTTATTCCTCTTAAACTGCATTGACGCTAGATGTTCAGGACCCAAGTCTAGCTCTACTCGCTACCTTCGGTGAGCATTTCTGACACTACCTAGTGAGCTTGACCTCAGTTAGTTTCATGAATTGTGTGGTACTGAGAATCGTGCAACTTACCTGGATTGTGAGCTCAAAGTTGATCAGTCTTTTTTTTCAGTGAACGCCCTGAGCACTTAAAAGTATCTTGGTTTCAATCAATCACTGAAACCTCAGCAGTATGATTACTAGCCCTGCTGATTCTCCTAGATCTTTATATGGTCATACCATAAGGACTTAGGTCGTCTTATCCAGGCGACACGAAATATCGCTGGGCTAAATTGAAGCTGCAAGCAATAACCGATATATGGACTTAAGTGACGCCGGCAATCCAGAATGAGAATAAGTAGTGGGTCATATGTGGTACCTCATCTTTGCACAGCTGGCGTGCAACCAGAAGGTGGAGTGGGGCTTTTCATGCCACCAGGCTTCCAAGGCCTAGACAGGAGCAGTCGAGAAGCTAGGTCTTAGCTCCAGTCACAAACTTTCCAGTCAGTAGTTCCGCACCTCAGCCCTGTACCGCCGGAAGTGAATGAAGCCACAGAATCCTTCACTTGCAATTTCCTTGGAGGTATTGATAATCTTTTGTGCCTCTGTTTCGTGTACCCTTGAATTGCGCTGGAAACATGGGTAAATTAATTTGCCCCTTACAGTCCCACCAAGCCTCATAATACCACGAAACTTCAAACCTCTTCCAAGAAGTTGTTGTAAGAAAGTATTGCTTATCCTTATCTCGTCATATATATATATATATATATATATATATACTGCTTTTACGTGACGGCAGATCTTATTCTGACAGCTTAAAAAGATGAAACAAACAATGGTAAGTAAATCATCATCATCATCAATGGGTCATATGTGGTACCTCATCTTTGCACAGCTGGCGTGCAACCAGAAGGTGGAGTGGGGCTTTTCATGCCACCAGGCTTCCAAGGCCTAGACAGGAGCAGTCGAGAAGCTAGGTCTTAGCTCCAGTCACAAACTTTCCAGTCAGTAGTTCCGCACCTCAGCCCTGTACCGCCGGAAGTGAATGAAGCCACAGAATCCTTCACTTGCAATTTCCTTGGAGGTATTGATAATCTTTTGTGCCTCTGTTTCGTGTACCCTTGAATTGCGCTGGAAACATGGGTAAATTAATTTGCCCCTTACAGTCCCACCAAGCCTCATAATACCACGAAACTTCAAACCTCTTCCAAGAAGTTGTTGTAAGAAAGTATTGCTTATCCTTATCTCGTCATATATATATATATATATATATATATATACTGCTTTTACGTGACGGCAGATCTTATTCTGACAGCTTAAAAAGATGAAACAAACAATGGTAAGTAAAATGGAACTGATCTTATGACTACGGGAGATGTAATGGAGTATCTTGTTCATTTAATGACATTCCGAAGAAAGACCGGGCATTGAGTCCCGGTGGAGATGTCCTGTCAGAAACGCACTTGTACGACTTCAGGTAATTTGAATTGAAACACCCCTTTTTGAAAAACGGTACATCACCTACGATGCTGCGGAGGTTTGGCAGCATCTATTGCGGTGTATGAATTTCCATTTACCATCGGACATGCAGTTTTTATCTGCTGCAAAACAGACTTTATGCCGGCAAATTAGTGGGTTCTTCGCCACCAAAGCCTCGTGCGGGTTAATGGTCAGATGTTGTTCTGGTTGCGAGTTTCAACGAACGTCTTGGTAGTCCCATTTTTCGGGTATGCATGTGAGTTATGAGCTTTCAATGAGTATGTACTCACCTCGCGACTTATTTCGAACCAGTTTAAACTTTCTATGCAGACTGTATGTGGCAACCTGCAGTTTACCTCTCCACCGATCAATGCAGGACAAAAACTAACCACGTTGCACTTATCTAACCTTGAAACGGGTCGGTCTTACTGAAATGGCTGTGTAGACCCCGAACAGTTCATCTTATGTGTGAAGATATACCTGCGTTCCTGTGATCATTCATAAGCTTACAAATCCCCCGACCCGACAATTACGGAAACCTTCTAATGCAAACTAGATTTTAATGTTGTTAGCTATGGCGTTCAGCTGTAGCACCCTTTCGGTGCCTAGCTGCCATGTCACCACGAGGGCTGGAAAACGGCCAGGTTGCCCAAGCGTAGACTGGATAGCAGCTACATAATATACGACATGAACATAAGTCGCTAAGGTTCAGTCACTAAGTGCTTAACCAGCCATACTGGAAGGTCACGCTCACAACACGTCAGGAGCTTAACCGTCAGCTAACCAGCACCTCGTGACTTGATATGCAGAACCTGTAGAAGTTACGAGAGAAGTCGCTCAGCTGTAGTACCCTTTTGGTGCCTAACTGCCATGCTACCCGAAGGTTGCATGAGGGCTGGGATAATGCCAGGTTGCCCAAGCCTAGCCAGGGAAGTCGAGAGGCGGAGCTCGGGTTCAAACCACGGACCTTCCGGTCAGTAAATTCGCATCCTAACCACTTGGGCCATCTCGCCCAAGGGAGAAAGATGAGGAAATCGCGTATACAACTGGGGCCAGTTGTCAACCCTTCCTTCCAATAACGTTGGCCATGTTCTTTGGCTTCGCATATCAGTAAAACTATCCGTAATATGGCTGTCAGCATCACCAGTGTCAACCGACCTGTTAACAAATGAGCTCACTCCAACCAGCGGCACTCACTCCAGCTGCGTAACCTACTGAATTATATTGAGTCTAAATAACCAATTGAAAATGGTCTTTTGGAGGAAATCCTCTATTCGTTTAAATATGGACTTGAGGATACACTCAGATTGTTCCGATCCTCAAACGGGATCTGAAAACAAGGAACGGTGATCACCAGCAAACCAGTCTTATACCGGTAGCGTTTAAGATTTTCGTCATCATTCTTCACAGGTCATCGGCAACAGAAGAACTGAGGCAAGAAGAGCAAACTGGTTTTCGTCTTGGAAAAGCTTGCGTTGACCAAATCATCCCGCGATGACTATTGGAACATTGTCAACAGTACCAACGCACCACCATCGTTGCCATTCTGGACACCCGCGCTGTATTTGATTCCTTAGACTTAACAGCTTGTGAGATTACCAGATCTGGGATGGTGTGAAAGCGTCCTGATGGCAGTACACAGTAAACGACGCGTCCAACACGCGTTTACGGTCGATTATCTCATCCTTTCCCAATTCCCCAACTTAACATTCAATATATCTCTGGTTCACTCGGACTTCTGTGAATGTTAAACTCGTATGGATTAGTCACACCTTGCAGCGGGAAGTGATGAACAGCAACAGTCTCTTCGTGATTGTTTGGTGATCTAACTGGAAGTTTCATTCGTAAATCGAAAACCCCACGTTCCTTTTCAAGAGGATGTGGATTAGAGAAACACATCGAGAGAGTAGAATAATAAGGCCGGTTGGTTGATCTGCCGTTATGCAGAAACGAACTTTCGTGAAGTGCGTGATTGATAGACATGCAAAGTATTCATATATATATATATATATATATATATATATATATACATAGGAATGTCGGTAAGCTTCGGGTTTACAATGCGAACAGGAATGATCTCAATAAGACGCTTTCTAGAGGTACTAATTGACCGTTTTCTTCAGTGCTTTACGATCTGTTTTGCCTATTAGTAATTGCTTTGTTTTGAAGTAATTCCATCAGTTGGGTAGACATGACGGGAAGATGCAATCAAAGTGGATGAAAGCTGGGATACTGAAAACGAAGTGGAGTTTGCAAGAACAACCGATCACAGTTTATGACTTCGTGCCCCGGATGTGTAATGTCGAAGGGGAAATAAAAAATGCAATAATCACATTAAGCATGAAACCGTTCTTAGTGATGTGGTTTTGGCAAAACCTAGCCTTCGCTGTATCCTCCTGCTGATCACAGTGTTTCCGAATCTCATTTTAGCCCTTCTGCATGATTGTGTATAATGGATGATTGTATCTTTGGAGACAGACCCCGAAAGCTTATGCCTTCAATCACTACTTACACGTCTGATGATTCGCTAGAAGAGGACGAACTTTCCGGTTCCCAGGATTCTGACACTAAATTGTCTACGCAGAAAGTAAGTTTGTTTGAGGTTTTTAGAGAGTTATCTGGCTTAGCAATCTTCGCCGTCAGGGACATCCATCCAATTTTGTATGTCTTTCGTTCCCTCAGTCACCAATTTCTTCCTTAGCACTGTAAGCTGTTTTTCGAGACGCGTATCACTCATTTAGAATTAGGACAGTATGTTCTTTTCCGACACTTCAGACTTTTGGAACGCATGTTTCTGTATTGGAACGAAATGCCAGAGGGGCTTATTACCAAACATGGCATAGGAACGCCTGTTTGGGGCGAGATGGTCCAAGTGGTTAGAGCGCGAATTTGCTGACCAGAAGAGCCGTAGTTCGAACCCGACCTCTGAATCTCGACTCCCCCTGTCTAGGCTTGGGCAACCTGGCAGTATCCCAGCCCTCGTGCAACCTTCGGGTGACACGGCAGCTAGACACCGAAAGGCTACAGCTGAACGATGTAGGAATGCTTGCTCACGACTTTCTAGATAAATCCGTTCAACTTCTGTCAGATGTATCATCATCATCAGGTAGACACTACGGTATAAGCCCCACAGAATGCGCATACATTCCTGTTCGAATCAGATGTGATGTTAGTCTCCGGAAGTAGTGCAACTGATCTGTCGGTTATGGGACAGAGCAGACTAGGAAATGTATACTGTTCGGAAGTAATTCTGTGCTGACAATCGAGTTAATGTGGTGAATGGTGGTACGATTTCCGTCTCCACACCCGCCAGTGTCAGCCGCTGAAAAACCGTGCAATATACTGGTTCCGAAGTTAGGGTCACGTCTCCTGTGAGTGTAGTAATGCTAATAACTAATAGCAGTGGTTCACTAGTGGTTTGTCGAATGGTTGTTGATCTGTTCAGCAAGTTTGGCGAAGGGCTTGCGAACAGATTAACTACCATCCAATCGACCACCATTGCGCTACCTATATTTCGACAGATTGATAAGAATAGTCCTTCAGCTGTGGCGCCCTTGACGTGTACCGCTGGCCTGCATTTTGTAGGTGGTACGAAGGCTGAGATACTGTCTAGCTGCCCAAGAGCAATTTAAATGCCACATTGGATCCACAGACCTGCCATGGCCTGACAACGGAGCTGTCATGAATCTGGTTCTCATACATGTGATAGCAGTGTTCTGACACCCTCATCGTTGCTAGCTTTCAGTTGTTTTTCCACGTTGTGAATTCGCATTCTAGCCCCGAGTTCCAACGGTTAAGAAGAGGGACAGACCATCTTATATGTCTGGCTTGTATTGCATCAGGGCCGAAGTCCACCACGCAAGCAATATGAACAGATCTCAGTCAACGGAAAATCGATCACTCCAATCGATACCGTACAAAGGTTAGAGTGTATCGAGAATAGAAGGTCAATCGTGCGCATGCGTGTATCTGTTGAGCTGGCTCTATAAATGACGTTAGTGTTATTCGTCACCCTCGAATTCCAAGGTGTTTAAAACGCGTTAAGTGCACTCGTATTTAGTAGTTGGTTATTAGTGACGCCATTCGCCGCATTCCTATCGAGCGTCACTTGTGATTAGCGTTGTCATAGTACGATTGACATGCAAGCATTTTCTCAGTAGTGTGGCGTGAGACCCAAGTATGTCAGCAAGTCGTATTGCATCTGATGGCCATTCGTTTATCGAGGGTGATGAGAGTGTTACTCTAGACTTCTAATTGTGGTAGTTTGTAGCTTCCTTGCCTTTGCGAATATTTTGCCGTTTGCTGCTTTCATGTGCCGTTTATCTCCAGGCGTCCCGGAAGCCCACTCAATCGAACGAGGTGCCCCCTTCAGATTCTTCTTCCAGTTCATCTAATTCGGACGACGAAGGAGCTTTTGGCTCGTTAGCAGAGAAATTAGCCGCCCTTCCGGTTACTGAGGTGCGTTTGTCACCAAAATGGATTAATACTACTTTGCCTCTCTCTGTTTACGTCGTCTATCATGTCCTGTTCCGTTAGGACCGGCTTTCGCACCATTATGTAGTCATATAAACCAATAAACTATTCTGGTTTGCTATTTTTGTAATGTACTACTCATAAGGTTGCTGAAAATCCATCAACAGCCTGAGAACATCGCAAACGAGAGATTCAGCTGGGTTCCAGGTGAGTCTCTCGAGAAACCAAATTAGTTTGCAAATGAGTGTATATTCGCTATTCTGGTTTGAATTTACTCCATAAGAGACCAACATATTCACATAAATGCTTCCGCGTGCATAACAGCTCCGGACTAGTTCTTGTGCAAACAGGCCTAGTGAATTTGCTTTCTGTTCCAAACAATGAACCCTTCCATTATCCGTTATCTTTTCGTTGTTTCAAACAGCTGATCGCATCCCGAGAATTTACGAGAGCTCGCAAACGGATATTTCGCAACCGCAAACATCGGACCGAGTAAGTAGTCTGGTTTCCCAGATCCCCATGAGGGTTATGACTGATAACGGGATTTTGCAAGTTGCTTACTGCGATACTGTTGGGTCAACGGAGCTGGAAACACTGTGTAAACAGATACCTTCTCCAAACTCGAAAGTCGACCTGTTTATAAACCAGATCGATCGTTTTTTGGGAGAAGACCACTGTGTTCTTTATCTACATCAAACGCCACTTGTGGTTGTGTCGTAGGAAGAGCAAACTGACTATCTCTGACTCTAACCCAGTGTCTTTCTCGGCCATGGATGTTGGAGGTGGATTGGAGACCTGTGTTCTGATAAGAGTACACCAAATCTTTGCTCCCGCCACTACTACCTGTGTTTGAACGGGCTAATACAGAGGTGGCTCGAGTGGTTGAAGCGTGAATTCACTGGCCAGTAGGTCCATGGTTCGAACCCGACTTCTGTCGCCCGACTTCCCCTGTCTAGGCTTGGGCAACCTGGCAGTATCCCAGCCCTCGTGCCTCCCTCAGGTGGCATGGCAGCTAGGCACCAAAAGGGTTTAACAGCTGAACGATAGGAGACGGTTACACATCGGACGAGTCAGGTCGACGTGTTCTACTATGTGGAAGTGTTTTTATGATGGTTAATCGATAGCCGGCCAGCCTTTCAAAAATGGGGTCAGTCAGTTGTCTGTTGCACTGACGGGTAGGTGATCATCTACGCTAGAAATGAATCGAATACTTAAGAGAAATCGCCGTAACAATCATAGGTGGCCTGTTGGAACAACCCGATACACTCCAATCTGGGGTCTGAAAATAGTATCCCGCGATTTTATGCGCTCGGTGACCCAGGCGTTACCTTTGATCCACTGCAAAATCGATTAAGACTACTAATGTCGTTGCTTCTGTTTTCATTCCCGTTGCCTTCCGTGCACAGATCTTGTACACAGAGTTTCGCAATCTTCTTCGATGAGATAAAGGCCCAAGTGAAGGCGGCGCATCCAGGGGCAAACTTTGGCGAAATGGTCCGTCTGATAGCGGCTCGATGGGATGAACTACCCATTGAAAAGAAACAGGTGGGTGGACTTACGTGTTTTCGCTGTTTGATTCATCCCACTGTTTCTTTGAGAGAGATGGCCAAGCGCGAATTTACTGACCAGAAGGTCCGTGGTTAGAATCTGACCTCTGCCTCTCGACTTCCCCTGTCTAGGCTTGGGCAACCTGGTAGTATCCAAGCCCTCGTGCAACCTTCGGGTGGTATGGCAGTTAGGCGCCGAACGGATTCTACAGCTGAACGATCTTTATCCCCGTTTTGTCTGGGATCACTCGTTCTTACGTCAGGTGTGATTTAGCCTCGGTTGACGCAATGAATCCTTTGTTGTTATATCTCTGTAGACGCAGTCGTTGATAGGAGTATACTCAGGCGCTTCTAGCATTCGTTCTGTTAAAGTTTTTTTCGGGTAAATTTGAATTTGTTGCGATTGTTGCTACTGAATTCTACGTGGCTGCTTGTGAGTTCCCATGGACACCTCCCGTATTCCCTCTAGAAGGCGTTCTAACCAGAATTTCCACCTTGGTCTTTCTCCTGAACTTTCCAGCTAAATTGTTGTTCAAATTGAACGCGAAATGTTTGTCACCTACGTCGTTTGTTCAGTTCTAGTGAGAGCCGTTTGGAGGACAATGCTGCTGCATTCGAGCTCCCGTGAATGTGGCTTTCCATAGGTACTTGGGAATGTATTCGAAATATACTCAGCTCCCTCAGAATGTAGAGTATATATCACTCCGTCACACTATACTGTCTGATCCCAATGCATCGTACAACCTGCCAACGAATTTCGCTCCCTCCGGTGGTGTTGCGCCACTTCCTTGCTGAAAAAACGTGAGTAGTCTCTACACTACTGAACAACCATTAGTAGACGCTCTTCGGAAACATTTGGCCGCTCACCCGCTCACTTTTTGGACCGTTTGACAGCCGACATGCCCGTATGTAATGTGGTGGCTGGAACATGATGATATCGGTGCTGCACATTAGGCCAGTTTCAAAGGTAGTACTATTCTTCTCACTAAAATTTTACTGTTTTCGTAAATAAAAACCATAAGCCAATACGATTACCTTTCTTTTTCCCTGGTGCAGTCAGCCAGTTGTCGCTCAGACGACCGGAATGGTCATTCCTCCATCGCCGTTGTTTCATTTCCATTTACTCGCCTTCTTCTACTAATGTGGGCTCGCTAATGCGAATTCCAATTGTTTCAGAACGCTCCCATATAGTGGACGAACAACCGTTCCTTCTAGGAGTACTGTCTGTCGGGGAAGTTTGAGAACTCCCACGCGAGTTGCTTTTTCACTGGTCGGTCAAACGATTGGATAGTGTTTGTGTTAAGTCTGGCTGAGGGTTCGTCACTTGTCACTAAATTATATCAAATTTAATGTATCCTGTGCAATATCAGTCAATACTAGTCTTACGAGCGACGCTTGTGCGAAAGAAGTACTTCGGATTCGACCAAGTGAACCTTGAGGCAGCCTTTGTGCTGACGTCCATCGTTTGAGTGCGCAAGGTTTCTATTCAGATCTCGGTTGGAGCTCTCATACCTATCAGATCGTGTACGAATGCGATTGGAGAACAGCCGCTACCCTGGTGACCTAAAAGCCGGGTTAGGAAGACACTTTCTCCAGAGGTATGTATACCTTCCAAGAGTAAAGTGGGGAATTCGGTTCGATTATAGGATGGAAACACGCTCATCCCACGAGAGCTGAATGGATCCTCAGCGACGTCTACTTGTTATCCATGTGGCACTGACTAAGTCCACAGACAGCCGTAGCTCATCGTCCTTCATTGATCGATTGACTATTGGACGCTAGTACTACGTTTCCACTCTCCTCTGTGTTTTCGCTTGGATGGTTAGTATTACCCCCCCCCCCCCCCCNTAACTGACAAAAAAGCACTTTACCTTGCTGAACTGGATAATTACTCGTTATGGGACACTTCTCGATGTGTTATTGGAGGTTCCATGTATTCAGGGTATCCTCTAGTATAGATCTTTTGCTTTGTTGGACCTACTTTACATCCGTTTTTTCTCTGTCTGTCGTTCGTTGCTTAATATCAACCTACTTTTGCCTTGTGCAGGAATACCAACAACGGGGCATTGCATCCGTCCAGCAAGGCGACACACAATCCCTCCTGTCCTATAAAACACGGCTCTTGAGTCTGGTAGGTCCGCGGGTTTTTTCGTTGTGTTTCTTCGGACGAAGTCCTGTTTATGCTTACTTTTAGATGTTTTACACTTCCACAGGGTTCAGCAACATGTTGACAGTGCTGTTTGTAAGGTCCAGGCAGCTAAGGATTTCACAGGCTGATTGCAACAATCGAGCAGTACGCAGTTCATATTCAGTAGGCAGTAGAAGCAGGCAGACGGGGGCAGTAGGTGCTGTATTGAGAACTGTCGAGTACTGGTTCTATGGACAGACGTTCTAATGAACATCGTGAATTAGGCAAACGTACAGTAAATAACAGCGCAATCGTTTGTGCGCTGCAGTGTGGCAGCAAGCCTTTCTAGAAGCAATAGCAAATAAGTACCAAATGGTGTACGAACGTACAGATACGGGCAGTCAGGCGATGTAAATAGGCCGTATGCAGAGATAACGGCGCAGAAAATAATCAGTACGTTCGAGAGACGAGGAACCATCTTCGGATGACGGGGCGATGCAGCAGCTCGTGTCACGTGCCAAATCGAATTGCACGCTTGGGTGCGTGAAAAACAAATATCAACAAAGGCTGTCTGGCAGATGCGGTATAAAGCCATACTGTGGCGCCCAGCGTACCATCAGAGGGGCTCTGAGTTTGATCCCCGGCAAGTCCGTTTTCCCATCAGAGCAGACACTCGAAAATGGGTAGAGCTGACACGAACCTGTAATTGAAGACGGACAGGCAACGAATCTTGACATCAGTTACTGAGGAATAAGGAGACCTTAAGCAGGAGCAAAAGCCGTGGGTACGAGCACCAAAGAAAAACAAACGGCGTTTTAATGAACAGGCGTTAATCACACTACTCATGAGTAGTCGGAAGAGAAAGGAATCAACACCGTTCATTCATTCAGTCTTTCGTTGACGCGTTCTTCAGATGATTAATGAATCATTCTGTCAATCTTTCATTAATTCGGCTATAGAAGCCCCGTTTTCAGGGGAGGCCATTTTATTCGAAAAAATGAGCGTGCTTGAAATTCAGTAAAAATGGCTTCGATGTTCTATTGATCAAATTCACACCTTGAGGTTGAACGATTCAACTTTACCATTCACAGCTAGTGCTGGTTTCGACATTAGTATGTTTCCTCTGGTGTCGATGCGAGTGGGACTCACTACTCTGTTTGATCAGGGTGTCACCACAGTGTTCTTTGAACGCAGCGTCTGTAGTTCTATCCCGGAAACGCGAAATTTGTAGGTAATTGAGTGTAATGAAAATACATATATGTACTAAATCGTCATCATCATTGGCAGCAATATCAGCGAAAGGAAGAAGGCCATCGCTGCGGATTTATTTATTAGAAATTGCCAACTGAACAGTTACAGATTAGTGGACAGGGAAGCAAAACTCTCATATGCATCTTGTTTACAAAAGCTGCATATCCATGTTCTCCTTGAACGCGTCTCCCTGAACTTTCCTGGATATTCATTGACTATTGCTCAAATCCAAGCAAATGCTACAAAGCGACTCCACAAATTCCGTAATAGATCCCACTTTTCAAGAGACGCAAAGCGGATTTACGAGAAAACATACTACTCGCATGCCACTTCCACCAGTAGTATCACCGTTACACCCGGTGAGAATACGGATGCTTCACTGCCACACAACCATGTCAGTTTATTTGAATAATGTTTTATAGTGGAATGAAGAAGGAAATGGGACACTCAGGGAGGAACCCAGGGCTGGTCTACCAAGAACATCCTGGGTACCCATTCGTCCTACACTTAGTCAGGCAATCGGGATAGAAACGGATAGAATGAACGCCACTGACACCCTTTAGTCGTCATATCTCTCAGTGTCTCGAACTAAGTACAGGCAAAGGTCACGTGTATCTCATGCTGGAAGCTGAGCAGCGCCAACTACAATGCAATGGAATTACGATACACGATCCGATCAGTTGTTCCAACCCAACTCAATATGCCGCCCAACTGAACCATTCTATATGGGCTTGTTTTGCGGCTGAACACCTTACAGTAACACAACAAGCCGGAAGCCATATTCACTGATCCCACAGGCAGCGGCCCGTCCCTTTGCTGATTTTGATCGGTCGTTCTGCAAACTCGAATGTCTTGAACGCCTTGTGTCCAAGGCCTTGTGCTACCAGGTTCTCTTTTGTGAACACTTAGATATGCGTAGCGACCAATGAATACGCATCTAGTACATTCAACGTTTCTCGGCTAACTTCAACAACGGTTTCAACAGTTGCATACAGGATGAAGTAGTGTGACTTGTGGGGCTCATAATGTAGGTGGGTCCCTTTTGGGTTTTGAATCTGCGAGTGCAGAATTGCTGAAAACGGTAAAGTGAGGTTGCACGGTGCAACTAGTAATTTCAAAGTAACCCGGGTTGTGGCGATCAATCCAACCGTATGATGTGGATATACCTTAACTTCATTCTTTGACTTCGTTTGGTTGTAGAAAGCAGAGAGAATATTTCTTGATAGCTTTGTCGCCTGTAGGTCACCACAGATTGAACGCTTGTTGTATTTCACAGTGTACTGTTACAATTGCGGTGATAACAGCATGATATCCGAGTATTCAACAGGCGAGAGTTCAGATTCCTTTTGAAACGCTGTTCCGACTGTACATTGACACCTGTTTCGATTGATCCGTTTCATCGACACTAATTAAGTTTGACAAAGTCACAGTGAGTTGAGTGGAGTAGTCAGGGCACCATGGAAACCTACGATTCCAGTACCGAGCGGCCTGCGCGTATTTTTTCGGTGAAAAGTGCAGTTTTTATTTCGTCCCCGACAACTTCTTTCAAACTCTCCATCGGCGAAGAATTTGAGTAAAAAAAACGAATACCAGGAGATCAATATAGCAAGTTTCCCTGGTCTAAACCCTCGTAACGTTGTCTTTAGAATGTTTGTGTTTAGACCTCACAATTTTCTCATCTTGTGAGTGAAACCAAATTATACTGAAAAGCCGTACATCTGTCTCATCCTTATTGGGAATCATCAGCAGTGAGCATCTCCCGAAAATCCAGGGAGTCTCGTACCCGTGACCCCTGTCTACTTGCAAAGTAAGCACTGCTTGTTCACCCACCTGGGAGGCCGAATGATTCAGTGCTCACCTCCTCGTGAGATGCATATTGCTAATGATTCCCAATATATGCGAAACGGCTTTGCAGTGAGTCCTTGCATATCGGTATAGTCTGGTTCCATTCACTCTTAGGACGAAGTACCCGTACAATAAATTCCAAAATCTCACCAGCCACATTTTCTGTTTATTTTTTCTTTGAATTTTCTGACCGGCCGTCTCGGAATGTTCGATTACCGCAAAATCTTCTTGCATCGTTGTCCTGTATCACGCAAGAGACAATTTGGTCACATACGTGTCGCAACATGCCCGTGTTTGCTTTCTTTTAGCACAGTATCATCTTGAACAGAGATAAATTTTGAAGCACCACGGTGCAGCCTAGGTTGACTTCACTTACAGGACGGAATCCCCATGAAAAATCCCCTAACCTCACCCTTATCTCAAAAAGTCTTCATACTGTTTTCTTAGAGAAATCATTCGATAAAAATCGTTCAGCTGTAGAACCTTTTGGGTTCCTAGCTGTCGTGCCAACGGAAGGAGGCATGAGGGCTGGGATTCTATCAGGTTGCCCAAACCTAGACAAGGGTGTTCGAGATGCTGACCCCAGGTTCGAACCACAGGCATTCCATTCCGTAAGCTGGTGCCTTAATCGTTGAGCTCTATCTAACCCTTCATTGGTGAAACGAACTTATTGGCAAGATCAATGACATTTGTGGTTGTTCGAACCGCCACCATCGTCGGTGAACCAGGTTGGCCGTTGAAAGAAGACCCCAGATTTGACTAGGACTGATCTTGGAGCACTAATGAAATGTAAAATTAACCAGTGTGGATACATTATGACGTGCTTTTGCCTTTTCACATTCATCTTTGCTTATGCAGCGCATTTAATTCAGGTAGGCGAATGATAGGCGTGGGCTGATACTCCTCCCACTATTTTGTTCATTCCAGAACCCAGGAAAACCAAGAATTTGTAGTAATCCGAGGTGCACCCAGCCGGTTGTGCATGACCCACGTTGGAACGGGCAGTATTGTTCCACAGCATGTGTCAGTGAGCATTGCCGTATCGCGTTTATGAACTGGTGCGCCAGACGTGTTGAACACAAGGTTTCTCCTTCCAATGTCGACGCGTCAGCAGAAACTTTCAGTAGAAAAGTGGGCTCGACCGAGTTCGGCGATAGTAACAAACTCCCGGCACCCGTTGAGGAACCGATCGCATCACCTCTCAATCCATGTGCTCTTACTCTAACCACAAATCAGGTAGTGCTCTCAACTGTGACCGTTGTGCTTCGATCTCTAATGCTCATTTGTTGTCAGGTCAACAGAGTTCCCTTTTTCGGAACTGTTCACGGCTTTCCTTTGCCTTTTTTATTATTATACTTCGGTGTTCAGCGCTTATTCTTTGGTACTAGACATTCGCTTTGGACGCAGTGAGCTACTTGTGACCTGATCTTGGCTGTGTGCTAGTAATGAGCGCCGGGTTGAACTAATGGGAGTTGACATTGATGTCCGTAAGAACACAGTCTGTTTAAGGGCTAGGATCTCGGTAAGGGTCATTCTTGAAATAATGCTTTCCCCTGGAATTGCGCTGACACCACGTACTTTCACGCTTCGTTGATGGTAAGTGGGGGGCCGGACTGTATATGACTTATTTCTGCTTCCAATTGTTGTAATTCCTGTTCGACAGCCGGGGTTTGCCGGAGCATATTTCCAGCTTGGGGCAGCTTCCGACTGTCCGCTTGCAGCACTATTTTGCCGGTAGTTTTTCCACATACCTATGGTCTAAGAGACTGCGGACATTATCAAACCACTACTATAGGAAGCCAAACTACTTTCGATGTCCGATCCGTTAAAATGAGGGGGGTCATTTAGACTCGTTGCAGCTGTGACCCTTGAAAACGCTCTGGTATTATTCTAGTCGCATACACATTCCATTCTTCGAAAGCGGCAACTCCAGCTCCACTTCATTAGCCACGCAGCGGGAGGTGGTCTCCGTTGAGGCTTCTTGGTTTGTGTAGCTGGCCGTAATTAGAATCCGGTGATCGACGAGGGCTTATCTTCGGAGTGAAGTTTAAGCTCTGTTTATATGCTACTTGCACATTCCTTTAGGAGGCAAATTTACATATGCTGGTTTAGGCGAGAGTTCCCGTAGGTGAATGAGAAAGGATCGCTCAATGGAATGATCCTCGTCGATGTCTCTTCAGCTTGGCAGAGAATAGGACGAAACAGCCACAACAACAAGTTTCCAGACGAGGCTGTCGAACTGAAAAAAACACGAATTCGAATCCTATACAGGAATCACGGCCTACGTGACAGTTCTGGCTGGTTTGGTCCTCCAGGGCCTGACAGAACCCTCGTGTGCTTCGTCAGGGTGATATAGTGATAGAACTTGTCTCATTATTTTACGACACTTCGAACAACTTCACCAGTGGCTCGACCATTTTTCCAGTTGGCTTGCTGACTGAGAACAATGATATCAGGTGAGGGCGAGTAGCTCCAACTTTGCTTTTTCCAATCGAATTGCATGCAAATATAATGGCCACTCCTGAACTGTGAACGATGATAGACGTGGTACACTCGAGATAATAGCAGCTTGCCTGCCTCCATAAGCCAATCAAGAAGATTGTCTAGACGTTCTCGGGAAAGCCATTACTTTCGGCCGCCAGTATAAAGTCCTTGCAACACACGAGCCATGCAACTACACTCGTTGGTATGCTCGAATTCGGACCCATCAGACAGCCGATTTGATACGCGACGGATTCAACCAAAGGAAAGCCTGCCACTCGAGCTTACTGTCACGCCAAGTAGACGACCGAGTTGCACATTCAAGTTGTATTAATGTGGTCCAGAACCAGGGCCAATTTCCTAGTAGGTGTCACCGGTTTTTTCCGCTTGTCCATTGGTGGAATTGTGTATCGGGTACGACAGTACATGATCCACCTGACAGCCATGGGAGCTGTGAGATCGGTAATGCTCGGATAAAGCTCAGGAAAGTATGTTTGGTTGCCTTTTTAATCCTGGAAACGATGTTATGCGCAGTTTCCCGAAAGAAGGTATACAGAGCACTTAGATAATATGTGAGTTTCACTGTCCCCCGATACACGAGTTGAATAACTTTGAGTCTTGATGTCTCTTGAATCATCACTTGTATTTAAATCGAAATCTGTGCTGACTATTGTAGAGCAAGATCAAGCCAGAAGCAACATCTCCGATTAGCAAGGCTGGCGAAGCCGCTACCGCTTTTACTGCGCACTCAAAACCAGAAGAGCCAGAGACGTCTACCGGAGTGGCACAACGCAAATCTCTGTTCGAATCTTTCAGGAGTCCGGAGTTCTCTCTCATCACCACAAAGACTGTCGCTAGATCTTCGACAAACTGGTGATACTCGTCTATGAATTGGTCGCTTTTCGCATTTGTTGTGCCGCTGGGCTTTCTTTTGTTTATAGTCTGGTTGCTGTATACTGCAGATATTTTTCTGAACTGGACCAATTAATATTTTGCCCTGGAGAGAGTGCGATTTTTTAAATTCAAGGTCATATGGCGCACGCTCTGTACCATTCCGCATCTCTCCATCGAAGTTGGTCGGTGCGGTCTTTGATCGCTATCCAGAGACTCTGCTTCACTTCAAATTCTGAGGTTCACTCCGTTTTTCAAAATAAATTTTGTAGTCAAGCGTTTTAAATGGCTTCGCGGGAGGTGGGATTATTCTTGGAAATCATGGCAAGCGTTTAACTCCTGCCCTGTCCTACATTGATCAAACATACCTCTCTGGTTCTGTTCTTGATAACCTAACAAAGTATAGTCTTTGAAAATTTTAAATTTTCTCAGCTACAAACTCTTTCAGCGCATCCGAGATACAGAGATATTCTATTCAACGTTCGAGCAAAAACAATTTGCAGTTGCTGTCAGCCCTTTACCCGTGACGAGTTGTGAGAATCTGCGAGTTTCCCCAGATGAGGTCGAGAATCCCATGGACGTCGTAAGCCGAAATTCGGTTCGACGTTGTATTGGCATGAGTGTACAAGCCCTTCAGGTGAATATTTTACGGCATGCTTGTCAAGCGTGTGATGTCCTGATGTTCGTATATTAGCTTTTTAGAGGTTGATATTACAGACTGGTTGAGCAACTCCTGTTTCAGTGTATTAGACTACGTTCTTACACGTTCGAGACGCTGTCCAGCTTTCGTGCAGCTGACTTATCACCAGGACTAAATAGATGCGCATTTATAGCATTTGACACAACCATACTGGACATTAAGCCAGGAAGTAACCCCCCGCATGTTTACGGGTAGTCCGACGTGTGTCTTTCAGTTTCGTATTGATGTTGACCAAGGTGAATTCATATGGCGAGAGATCTATTTACGCGTTCCATTTGATTGCAACTGTTCACATCCAACTTGCTGTTGTGGAGTCGTCAGACCTCACATTAGGTGATGAGAACTGGGCATATTCTCACATCATCATGAGTATAAACAGTGCTGTTTAACTCCCAAACAACTGTTAGAAAGATGTCTAGTGAAACATTGAGCGGCGTTGGACACGATGCTAGGATAGCAGTAGTTGCGTTCACGCGGTAGTGTCCCAACCACTTTAACCTGATTGGTTTCATTTAATTACATAATGATTCTGATTCATCAACTGCCCACTCACCAACTGTGAATTCACTGCAGCTAGATAGCGCGTAATATGGTGCTACGGAAAACCCTGAAACAATACTGTGCACTTCGCCATTTTTTGGACACACCGAAGCCAGGGCTCATCCGAAATTCTGTCGAAATGAGTTTGTATGACTGATGGTCGTCAAATAAGAAGACAATGTCGTGCGCATAATCCAGGTCTACTAATCCCTTCGTAGGTGTGGTTTCGATAGAAACAACCTTGATCCCTTAAAAGGTGGAGTACATAATGGTACTGATGGCACAATCAAACGTGAAGGAAGAAAGAAGGTAACCTTGCCATTTCCCACCGGTCGTTTGAAAGCTTACGGTTCGTTGTGAATTTGCACACCGGGACGTATAGGTATGTATGACATGAAGGATATTCACAAGTATGTTGGGCGAGGTGGCCCAAGTGGTTAGGGTGCGAATTTACTGACCAGGTCCGTGATTCAAACCCGACCTCTCTGGACGTCCCTGTCTAGGCTTGGGCAACCTGGCAGTTTCTCAACCTTCGCACTTCCTTCGGGTGGCATGACAGTTAGGCACCGAAAGGGTGCTACAGCTGAACGATTTTGGAACACTGAATATTGGTGCTCGTTCAGCAACAGTTTTTAGCGCCTAGCTGTCATGCTACCCGAAGAAAACTGGATACCGCAGACGCTGTGTGGTTCAATCCTAGACCAGATCAGTCGATATGCGTGATCTGGGTTCGAACCGGGACCATATGGTCAGTAAGTTGATGCTCACCTTCTTTTACGTTGATGCCATGCTGGGTATGTTGATTTGGTGTCAGCCAGTGACTAAGGTGAGCCGATTCACAAAGGAAGTTTTTTCGCCGTTATTTTTGTTATAATTACATGGTCGTCGTCGTCGTGGGCTGTGAAGCAACAATCCTTCAGCTATAACACCTGATGCATAGTTACTATACCACCCGAAGGAAGCAGGAGGACTGGTTGACCAAACCTGGACACGAGCAATCGAGGTGCCGTAGGTTGGGTTCAAACTGCGAATCTTCTGGTCAGTACGAATGACATCACTGTCTGGTCCATCAGGAAGTTCATCATCGGACACAGCAACATCATTTTTGACATGCTCGGTTCCAGTACAACCACAAATTTTTTTATCTGATGATATTTAAAACCTCAGAATGAATAGGAGAGAATGGGTGAGGGACGGGACTTGGTGCTGGTTTGTCGCAAGCATTCGGAGGTGCCTACACTTCCTTTGCAAAGAAACTGAGCACTAACATCACAGTCGTAGTTTCTTGTAATGATTCCATCCAACAGCAGGAGGGGTGATGGGAACCCCATCCTGGAGGACTTGCCACTTCACTTACACACTTCGGATTCTTTTCCAGAAGTCATACGTAATCCATGTAGTTTCCACCATTATGATGGAGGCACAGGGAACAATACTTGTCCCGGTCAACGCTGCTCCGCCATGCGGGATACATGGCCGAGCCACGACAGTTGATGGGGCTGGATGTTTTCCTACAAAATCAACTACTTGTTTTTAAGTACATCGTTACGAATTCGTTGATGCCCTCCGACACCAGCAGCACTTCTAAGGCTGCGGTGCTCATAAACCTGAATTCGCCTCATATCTATCTTCAGAAGTCATGTCTCGCTACCATACAGCCTTTACTGTAGGCTGGTGCGCACGACACCTGAGATGAAGAGGTGCGCCATTTGGACGCCACAAGTGATGCAAATTAGAAGTGTATTTCGGGCCTTTCATCATCATCATTATCAGCTGTAAGAACCGCGTACGTGTACAGTGGTTGTATTTGCTACAATTTCATCCGTCGATGATTTGCGGATGTATGGTAGGTAGCTATGCATTGGAGGCGGGATCTGATAAATTATTACGTAAACACGTTTCTCTCAGTGGGCTGTGGGTGAATTGGGAAGGGAGTTATGAATTTAGAACAATAGCTTGGATGATTGCGCGCCATTGAGGGCGCGACTGGGCCATGTTTGACAGTGTCTCTACCCACTGATATGGCCAGTCCTGGGGTCCCCATCCAAGAAGACGGCAATGACCAGCGCAGCTGAATTCCCTGGTAATGGCTTTCACACTTCGCTGCCAAGTCATTGACCGCCTCTAGCTGTCTTCCACCCTTCACATGGTCGTGCGAAAATAGCCCTTCGAGGAAGTCGGTCGACTGGCATACGCAGCAAGTGGCCAAGCCAGTGCATCCGATGCAGTGTGATCAGTTCGTCTATCAAGGGCGAGTTATTTCTCCTGAATACCATTCGACGAACTTCAGCATTGCTAGTCCGGTGTTTCAACCAGATTCTGGCAGTGCTCCGAAGACATCGATGGTCTAACACTGAAAGTCTTTTGAATTTCTCGGCCAGGCTTCTGATCCGCATAGTAGTATGGTAGCGCGCCGCAGCATTGTAAAATCGACCCTTGACAGAGAAGTTGATGCCACGCCTACGCCACAGGTGACGTAGATTCACAAAAGCTTCTCTGGCCTTCCCAATCCGGATGGAAATATCATCTTTTGCCAGACCACCGGGACTGATACAGCTGCCCAGGAAAAAAATTTTTCTACTACCTCAATCGGTTCGTCCGCAATCACGGAACGAGGATTCGAGGTCACCCAGTCTTGCAGTGGCACTTTACACTTTGCAGGTGTGAAAAAAATCGTTCAGCTGTAGCGTAGCACCCTTGCCTAACTGCTATGCGACCCGATGGTTGCACGAGGGATGGGATACTGCCAGGATGCCCAAGCCTAGACAGGGGAAGTCGAGAGGCGGAAGTCGGGTTCGAACCACGAACCTTCCGGTCAGTAAATTCGCGCTCTACCTACTTTGGCCATCTTGCAGGTGTGAAGCGCATGCCGAACCGCGAGGTAGAATTATTCAGATTATTTGATATTGTTCGCATCACGACGGGGTAAGATCCCAGAAGAGTTATGTGGTCTGCGTACTCTATGTCTGTGAGCGGAGGCCCGGGGAGCACTTCGACCCCACAAGCATTAGAGACTGATAATGAGCCTTCTCTGGTCCTATAAATGACGAATTTGAAGAGGAAATGTGAAAGAGGGCAGCCCTGTCTAACATCACTGGGTGTGCTGAACTCAGAAGAGAGCTTCCCGTAGAACTTCACACGTCCACGGGAGTTGGCGTACAGTGTCTTAAGGAGGGTCAAGAATTTATGGGGGACACCTCTGCTCCACAGAAAATGTAGTGCCTGACGGTCTACAGAGTCAAATATGGCTTTCACATCGAGGAGCGTAACCTTTGTTGGTTGCTGGAAGCAGTGCCGCTGTTTCAGTATCTGTCGGAATGTGATCGATGCATCCTCTTAAAGGACGGAACCCAGCTTGGTTTTCACGGATCTGTCTCTTCCTGTGTTCAGCTTACCTTCGAAGGATGAAGCCAGAGAGCACCTTCCATGCCGCAGCTACCAGGCTGGTGCCACGGTGGTTTTCACACAGCGCCCGCATACCCATTTTGAAGACGCCCCATTCATAGACACCTGTCCGTTCCTTATGGTAGCAATTAGTTTTGTTAGATTGGTTACCAGGGATTCTCCGCCTTGAAGTGTGGTGGTCCTGGTGCCTTCTCACGTTTCAGTACCGATATTTCGTGCTTTATTTCTTCCGACGGGCGATCAATCTTTACCTTCCGTTTGCCTGTATGCACTATCTCTACAGGCTGTGTTGCGGTAGGCCAGCTGAACCGTTCTTCGAAGTGTTTGGCACATCGTTCCAGTCAACGCTTTTGCGAGTGAATTAGTAAGCCATCTCTTTCACCTATCGTTACCTGCTCGTATCATATCTTGGCATCAGTCGTGGATAGCTATCTCGACGACATCCAGTGATCTTGTGGTCGAATTGGAGAAGCCGGACTGAACGCCGCTAACATAGCTCCTTCCACATTATGTCACGCTTCATCCACGTGCTTACTGCTAGTACAGTATTGGCTTACAGTGGAGAGTTGTTGACCTGCTGAGATAGACACTTTGATCTGTGGTGGTTTTCCAAAGATGCTTTTTGCTTACTTGAGAGGGCCTGGGGGAAAACGATCGTCAGGCGTGCGCGCACCATGGCGTGTTTGGAATCAAGTTGCGTGCCCCAGTCTTGAATTGTGACTCTCCACTGATGGCTGATGGCCACGTGATCCAACCGGGTCCACGGTTGATTTACAGTTTGTGGCCTCCAAGTTATGCGATACGATTGTCTATGCTGAAAGTTCGTGCTTTCCAGAAACAGTTGCTGATTAGCGCTCAATCGGAGAAGTCGCTCTCCATTGTCTGTGCGACGAGCATCTGCTCCGAATCAACCGCCAAAATGTGATTCCAAGGAGCCCAGACTACCTACTTGGGCATTCATTATCGCCCACAAGACTGAAAGTGACAATGCATCTTGCTTGACGAATGAGTCTGGATAGAAAGTATCCTTCTCGGTCCATTGGGGCATAATTCGACACTACTAACAGGCAGCGCTTTTTATTCCGAAAGGCATTGAGCTTGATTTAATTGGATAATCGGACGGTGCAAAGATGACTGTTCACTGAGATCCAATCCAACAAAAGCGCGTCCGGCCCTGGGGCTGAGTGCAACTCCCACACCATACATCCCACGAGTCATCGCTTGTGGATTACCAGACATACGAAGGGGGAAATGTGAGAGAGCTGAGATTATCCTTGGCGTTCTGAGATGCATAGCCACGCTTGGGTCTTGTATGCGTGTTTCGGAGACGCAGCACGTATCAAGTTTAAGGGAGTATAAGGTTTCAACAAGCATCAAAAGTTTGCCAATTTGACATAGAGTACGGACTTTAAGGCTGAGTGCACTCCCACACCATACATCCCACGAGTCATCGCTTGTGGATTACCAGACATACGAAGGGGGAAATGTGAGAGAGCTGAGATTATCCTTGGCGTTCTGAGATGCATAGCCACGCTTGGGTCTTGTATGCGTGTTTCGGAGACGCAGCACGTATCAAGTTTAAGGGAGTATAAGGTTTCAACAAGCATCAAAAGTTTGCCAATTTGACATAGAGTACGGACTTTAAAGGCTCTTATATAGAAACGATCTGGTGGATTTAGAAAAGTGTCATTTTGTTTATTGTTAGTAAGCAGCGAGGAGCGTAAGCCCTTCTGTCAGATGACTGACAGCCAAGTGGCCCAGCGACGTTTGCTTGTGCGGTGGGAAGGAGTTGGGGAGGGACATCGGTGGACACAGAAGTTTGTGGCCAAATGATGCTTCGCGGTTGCCCAGGCCCTTGAATGAGGTTTGGTCGAGGTACCCATCGGGAGCCTTGGACTCAAAAGTCTGACTCGCAAAGTAGTGGGAGGATGTAGGGTTATGTTCAGCGGCCCTGCCTGTAGCCGCTCATTCAAAAGTCTGACCAGCAAGGCAGCGGGCGGCAGGGTTTTCTTTGGGAATGCTCTCCGGAGCTGATGACCCAGGAGGCTTATCCGGTCAGCTGCTGGTGTTGGTCTAGCCCGAAAGTACATGGAGTAAGGCATTATTGTCTCACTTCTGATGCGAATCCGCACTACAAGTGCCTTTTGAGTAGCACTAATCTCTTCGGTTTTAAAGGTATTTTAATCGTATTGAGTAATGCGCCGGTGGTCACGGTCAACCGTTGGGTGATCGGCTTTTAGAGCTGGCCTTTTCTAACCTACCCTTACTCGGGGCAAGGCAGCCTCGCTGCTTCCAAAAATATGGGCATGCTGGTCGCCTAGGAGAATTACCTTCGTTCACATCTCCTAGGGACATTGAGACTCCACTTCTAGGCCTCCTCTTAATAAGATTTCTGGCAATGCAGGGACTCGTCACTGATGGTCTAGCTGCTCTCCTTTGGCCTTCCTGACATGGTTGGACCTTATGGAATAAAGTTCTAGCCAATATAGTCCACTGTTGTCCACCAACTTCGGCTTCATTATTGGACTTTTCATACATAACTGATGTGCGTGCGGATGTTACAGTGGTGTTGAAGGCGCATCCTTTGGAATGAATGATGGCGGTTCTTCACGAATTGAGGACCAATGGGATGAAGTTTTTGTTGTCGTTCACGGTTAATGCAGATTCGACTCCATATCGGCTAGTATCATCCCTCGTCCAGTGCACTCAAACTTATTGGAAGAACTTTGAGATGTTTTCTTCCATGGCCGAGTGAGAGAACCTTGCAGAGACCTCGATTCGGCATGATGTTGAGTTGACTGGTAGCATTTACAATCTCAACTTGAATTCTGTATTCCCCGGCCTGTGGGACTGCCGAATTTACGTCAGTCACCGGGACCACCACAGTATTAAGAGCGCAGCGGATGTGAAACCTACCGATGTTATAATGTCCCCGTATAGTTAATGGTGGGGTACTACTCCATTTGGATACCGAATATCGGCTGCCCGTAGCCGGTACAAGTTTTCAGGACATGTTGGAGGGCTAGCCATCTTGGAGGCTAGAAGCCATCGCCTCAGCTGGTGGAGGGTCCATCATTCCTTATTCCGGCCGTGCAGTTATGCGGGGTCCTTCCGCAATTCGTATCCTCTCAGTACCACACAGATTGCCATCCAGTTTGTCGCCTTCCATGGGTTTCCACAGCTAAGTATTATCTCTATCTGTCTAAAAATGCGCATTCACATCGGTAGCTGAGATCGTGTCGAGGATGGATGGAAGCGATCCCAAGAAGACTTCCTCAGTTTTCACTTAGGTACGTTCGCGTCCCATTCCTGACCATCAGAGCTCGGGATATGATGAAGCTGAGCAGCTCTTAGCTGTCATGAAGAGACTGGACGTTACCGTGGTGCGACGGTTTGCGCACCTCAGCGATCCATTGAGCTATACCGGGGAGTTTCCCCGTGACACTCACAGAGTCTCTCATACCAGGTTGGTCCATGGGTAGAGGTCCGACGAACACAGTCTCCTGGTCCTCCAGGTTGGGGGTTTGAACATGTATGGCGACGTGTTCCGTAAGAATGGTAATGTACTTGCATTTTCAGCCGAACACCGCT